TTCAAAACTTGCTTTTAGCTTTCTTTTTCTTTCGGACAGCATTTTCCTCTGTCTTTTTCTCTTCTTCTGGTTTGGTTTTTCCCGAGAAAATCAAGTCAGAAAAGAGGGGATCGAGTAGCACGAGAGAAGCTAAAACCCAATCAACAAGAAATCTCTGAGCAAAAAGGTTCAGTTTTTTTTCTTCCTTCAAATCAGTTTCATTTCAATTCACTATGAGAGTCATATTCTTTCTTCTGAGTTTCTTCTTCTTTTGATTTCTGAGTAATCTTTATCAGACGTTTCTGGGTTTTGGTTTCCTTCTCAGAGAATTGAAAAGAAATGGCTGAGCCGACCAAACTAAGGCTANTTCGTTGTCCAAAGTGCGAGAATCTCTTATCAGAGCCTGAAGATTCACCTTTTTCCAGTGCGGTGGCTGCTTCACTGTTCTTCGTGGTAAGTTCTTCACTTTTGAGCTCCCAAAATCAACAATAAATCCCCAAATTTTATCAGTGTAGTTTTGGTGAAATCAATGTAGAGAAATTAGTTCTTGTTTTGGTGTTTATTAATCTGAATTTTTTGATTCAAATGAAGTTGCTTTGTTTTTTATGCTTACTCTAAGGAAACTTGTTTTACATATACAGCCAAAATCAAGGAGCGTGAAGCAGATTCGGTTTCAGATAAGTCTGTAGAAGATAGAGCCAAACCAATCTCAGTCAACTCTAGTAGTTCCCCAGATAAAGCAATTGCGGATTCTAGTGAAACATCATCCGACTCTGATGTTGTTCCATCAAATTCTGTTTCTTTGAGAAACCAACAAAATGTTCCTGTTGATGTTGAGAGTGATCCTTGTCCAAAGACCAAAGCTTTTGATGCTGGTACTAGCTCTATATTAGGGGAGAAAGATGACCCGAAATCTCAGTCGGGGAGACAAGACTCGGGTTTGGATCGGTTTAGGAAGAGAACAACCAAGAGGTGTGATTCTGAAAGTGTTATAAACAGATTATCCACTTCAAAGTATCCTTGTGATGAAGGCACTTCTTCTTCTACTACTAACCACTTTCCAGATGAGTTCAAGAAACATCAGAGCGATGAAGCAATCGAGCAAGACCGAGCTGGACTTTTGAGACAGTTGGATAAGCTCAAAGAACAGCTTGTTCAGTCTTGCAATGTGGCTGGTGAGAAACCTAAAGAACAAGTTCCTATTTCTTCTTCGTCTTCCACGGGGTTAAATAAGGCGCCTCCAATGCGGTTTCACAGTTCGGGAAACCACGCTGTTGCAGGTCCTGCTTATTACCATCAACATTCTGAACCGCAATTTCCTTACAACAACAATGAAGTCCCTATGCACCATAGTCTGATGTATCCCAGTTATGGAGACCCTCACAGGTTCCCGATGCATGGTAGAGGTTCTCATCCGCTGCAACCATCTCATCCATACTTCTCGGGACAGTATGTTGGTAATAACAATAACGGTCATGATCTCTTTGACGCATACCCGCAGCAAAACGGGCATTTTCATCACCCAGCTTGCTCTTGTTACCATTGTTATGATAACAAATACTGGCGAGATTCAGCACCGGTGATCCCTGATGCACCTTATAACGCCGGTTTTTATCCTCATGAGAGCGTTATGGGTTTTGCTCCACCACATAATCCTAGAACCTACGGTTCTCGTGGTCTACAGCCTCATGGAAGATGGCCTAGCAACTTCAGTGAGGCACAAATGGATGTTCTTTCACGGGTTCGTCCTCCGAAAGTTGTATTATCAGGCGGATCTCGACATATCCGGCCTTTGGCAGGTGGTGCTCCGTTTATAACTTGTCAAAATTGCTTTGAGCTTTTGCAATTGCCAAAGAAACCAGAGGCTGCTTGTACAAAGAAACAGCAGAAAGTGCGGTGTGGAGCGTGTTCGTGTTTGATAGATTTATCTGTTGTTAATAACAAGTTCGTGCTCTCGACAAACACAGCTTCTTCGACAAGACAAGGAGAAGCTCGTGTAGCTGCTGATTACACTTCCGATGACTATGATCTTCTCGGTTACGTTTTTCATTCGTTGGATGATGAACCCGGGTTGATCTCAGACAAGTCTCAAGATATGCAAAACGTTCATTCTCATTCCGCTAACCTTTCCGAGGACGAGCTAAGTTCAGACAGTCTAACAGCTAAACCACTTGGTCAAGCTGATCAAGATTCGCCTCGTCGCGATTACTCTTCGATCAATCATGACCGGTCTGGAGTAGGTAGCCGAAGCGCTCGTTCAGAACAGGACAAGGGTACACTGAGCANGACAACAGCAATGAGACAAAACTCCATGAAAGAGGTTTCACTTGCAAGTGAGATGGAAGTTTCCTNNAATGACTACTCTCATCACAACAGTGGAGTATCTAAAGATCACCAGCAAAGATCTAAGAAGAACGGATTTGCAAGCATTGTGAAGAAAAGCTTCAAGGACTTAACAAAATCTATACAGAACGACGAAGGNAACAAAAGCAATGTGTCGGTAAATGGACATACTTTAACCGAACGACAAATGAGAAAAGCAGAGAAGCAAGCCGGAGCCATTCAGCAAGGAAACTACTGGTAAATGTCGTGAATTCGATTCCACTCTCTTATGATCATTTTCTTTATAACTTATTGATGTGTTCTGGGGACATTATAGGTATGATTACAGAGCTGGATTCTGGGGAGTAATGGGAGGTCCATGTCTTGGAATATTACCGGTAAATAAACACAGTTTGATATTATTGCTTCTTTGTTAAATATGTTGCTAAAGCTTACAATTTACGAAAAGGCGAAATCTTTTCTTGTTGCAGCCGTTCATAGAAGCGCTAAATTACCGAATGCCAGAGAATTGCGCGGGTGGAACTACTGGAGTGTTTGTAAACGGAAGAGAGCTTCACCGTAAAGATTTAGACTTGCTTGCAGCTAGAGGTCTTCCTCCAGACAGAGATAGATCATACATTGTTGACATTACGGGTAGAGTCATCGATGAAGACACCGGTGAAGAGCTAGATTGCCTCGGGAAACTCGCCCCGACGTAAGTCGTTTTGTTCTTAAATCTCAGTTTCGCTTTTGTGACCTTGCTTGCTCTTGTTTATTGACAAGAAAGTATATGTTTTGGATGGTGTAGGATTGAGAAGTTGAAGCGTGGGTTTGGTATGAAACTTCCGAGGAGAGCTACGTGAAGAGAAATGTTCTTACTTCTTAGTAGCCTCATTAATACCATTGTTTAGCATCTTGGGGAAATGTAGAACATATTTTTATTCAGGAATTTGTATATTAATGTCTTTCAAGTTTTTCTTAGACTAGTCTATTTCTATTGCTAAGTGATTTATGTTGTTGTTGTTAAATATTAGTATCGTCTTAATTTCTTTTGATCGGTTTAATATTTGTAATTAGAGATTGCCCACGTTTTGCGCTGGGTTTAAAAATTAACATGGTAAAATTTAATCTTACCAATTTCTAGTTATTGATTATTTGTGTATTAATTAGATATTTTAATTTTAAATTGAAATAAATTAAACAATAAATTAAATATCTTTTTCTATTAGGATATTATAATATACATGTAATTTTTTTTAGTTTAAATAGATTAAAGTTTAAATATCCAAATCTTCACATTTATTTATATAATTTTATGCTCTTTCCATTTAACGTAATTTAAAACTTCAATAATATTTTCCATAAAACTTATTTGTTTTAGCTTTTCATTAGAAAAGATAGATTATTATATTTTTCGATATGTGAAATAGAATACGATGTAACTCGATTTTTTTTGTTGACAACATTGATATGAGGTGTAATAATTTATTTTTTCACTTTCTGCTTAGTTTTTTTTTTTACATTTAATAATTACTAAAATAGTAAAAGTAAAATTCAGATTTTTATACAAAGTACTTAATCTTATCGAGGTATGTTTGAGTCAATCCGTTAGATTTATACAAGCATAAAATATTTTTTAATTAGATTTAGCCACATTTCAAAAATCTATTTAAAAATAATAATATCTTGATTTGGTAAATAGTAAAATGTAATCTTACTTTAAATAGGATTAAAAATATTTAACTATTTGATTATATGTGATAAATTTAGTTGAAAATAAAACAATATATAAAATAAATTATAAGAATACAATAGATAAATATTTGATCGACTTATATATAAATAATTTTGTAATAACACTTTCAATTTTATTTTATTATTTAAATGGAGTGATCTAATTTTTTTCTGTCTTTTTCGTCTTTTGATTTTTACAAACTACAGGATATTCAAGAGTGAAAATAGTTCAAATATAATATGAGAAATAATCCATCAATATTTTTAAAAGTAGATATTTGAATAGTAAAATAAGATTAAAAGTAAAAAAAAGTACCAAATTTAAATAGGATTAAGAAAGACTAATAATTTCAAAAGATGTGATAAATTTTAG